GAAACACCACTGTTTTCCCCCCGATTCCTCACCAAATTAATCGTATGATTTGGCCATGAGTCGTAAGGTTATCAGAAATTTCCAGTCCCTGGCTCATAAGTTATCTTCAAGCATCCTTGCTTAGAAGAGCTTAATAATAAGCAGCAGGGAAGTGGAAATTCTTTCTGCCTTGACAGCAGGGGGGAGAGGAAGAGAATGCAGATGAAGAACATATTTCACATCGCCAGGGCTGACAAATGTGAAAAATGTGCCAGACAGGCTCTGCGGGCTGCAAGTTTTATAATTAGAAATACTGAAACCTGTTCAGTGGCGCTGCCCACTTCCAGGGGTTTCTTTTGAGCAAAACAAAGGAACTGTTTTTCTTATTTATGTTGCAAGTTTATTTACTAATTTTTCTTATTGCAAAAAAGACTTCATATTCATTGAATAATTTATCTGGTTTCATGATTTAAATGGTAAAAAAAAAATGCACACACAAGAGTACTCATATGGAGTCATGTTTCATCTGGTTCAAAAGAATAAAATGAAGATGTTGGAGAGAACCATTTGTTTGCCAAAGTTTTATTCAACGTCTAAGTCAGGCTGGGCATTGGTCACAGCAGTGTGGCTACTTACAGAGATAACTCCATGACTATCTTGTTTACGCTTTCATTTAAATCAGGGGTGGGAACGTCTGGCCCACGGGCCATATAGGGCCCGTGAAATCATTTGGTCTGGCCCTGCCAAGGCATTAGGGGTGGGCTCATTAAAAGTTTGACCAAATCGCCCTAACCGGTTTGGCTCAGTGGATAGAGCGTCAGCCTGCGGATTGAAGGGTTCCAGGTTCGATTCCAGTCAAGGGCATGTACCTTGGTTGTGGGCACATCCCCAGTGGGGAGTGTGCAGGAGGCAGCTGATTGATGTTTCTCTCTCATCAATGTTTCTAACTCTCCCTCTCCCTTCCTCTCTGTAAAAACTCAATAAAATATATTTTTTTTTAAAAAGTGAATTAATTAGCAGA